GATGCCCATGAAAAAGCAAACTTGCTAAATGGGTATTTTGCATCAGTTTTTCACCAGACCCATGGGACACCCTTGCCCACTGCAGGACGGGGATGCCCAGGTGAGGGAGATTCCTTACCCTCCACAGAAGCTGATCTCGTGAAGGAATACCTTGACAAGCTGGATATCTTCAAGTCAGCCGGCCCTGACAGTTTACACCCCAGGGTACTCAAGGAGCTGACTAGCATCATAGCTCAGCTCCTGGCATGGATCTGTGAGAGCTCCTTGTGGTCTGGTGAAGTGCCCAAAGACTGGAAGAAGGCCAATGTGGTGCCTATCTTCAAGAAAAGGAGGAAAGTAGATCCGGCAAACTACAGGCCCATCAGCCTGACCTCTATCCTGGGGAAGGTCTTGGAAAAGATTATCAAGGAGGCCATCCTTAACAGACTAGCTGACAGCAATATCCTGAGGGATAACCAGCATGAGTTTGTTGTGGGTAGGTCCTGCTTGACCAATCTCATTTCCTTTTACGACCAGGTGACTTATCACCTAGACAAGGGAGAAGAGATTGATGCCATGTATCTTGACTAAAAAAGCCTTCTATCTGGTATCCCATGATCACCTCTTGGCAAAACTGGCTAACTGCAGCCTTGACCTCACCACAATCCGCTGGCTGGGGAACTGGCCTCCGTGGTCAGATCCAGAGGGTGGTGGTTGATGGAAGTCAATCGTCATGGTGCCCTGTGACCAGTGGGGTCCCTCAAGGCTCTGTCCTAGGGCCTATACTCTTTAACATCTTCATCAATATTGTAGACATTTGTGTCAGAAGTAGACTGGCCAAATTTGCCAATGACACCAAACTCTGGGGTAAAGCATCCACACCTGAGGACAGGAGGGTGATCCAGGCAGATCTTGACAGGCTCATGAAATGGGCGGACGAGAACCTGATGGTGTTCAACACCAAAAAATGCAAGGTTCTCCACCTTGGAAGGAAAAACCTGCAGCATGCTTATAGGCTACACTGGTTAGCACTACAGATGAAAGGGACTTGGGGGTCATGGTTGACCACGAGATGAACATGAGCCTTCAATGTGATGCTGCGGCTAGTAAAGTGAACAAAATGCTGGCTTGCTTCCACAGGTGCTTCTCAAGCAAATCTCAGGACATCATTCTCCTGTTGTACTCGGCTTCCAGCCACAGCTAGAGTACTGCATCCAGTTTTGGGCTTCACAATTCAAAAATGACGTGGAGAAGCTTGAGAGAGTGCAGAGGAGAGCCATGTGCATGATCAGAGGTCAGGAAAACAGATCTCATGATGACAGGCTGAGAATCACGGGACTCTTCAGCCTGGAAAAGCGCAGGCTCAGGGGCGATCTGGTGGCCACCTATAAGTTTATCGGGGGTGCTCATCAGGATCTGGGGGAATGTTAGTTCACCAGAGTGCCCCAAAGGTTGACAAGATTGAATGGTCACAAACTCTTCCACAACTGATTTAGGTTGGACATAAGAAAGACTGCCGCTGGAGGTGGTTCAAGCACCTATTTTGAATGCCTTCAAGACACATTTGGATGTCCGTCTTTCTGGGATCCTATGATCCCTGCTGACTTCCTGCCCCTGGGGTAGGGGGCTGGACTCAATGATCCTCCAGGGTCCCTTCCAGCCCGAATGTCTATGTCTATATCTACATCTATATCTATGCCTATGTAAAGAACCATCCTTTTGCTTTGTGAAGAGGACAGAGACACCAGCTGGGAATGTAGAGGGTTGGATAAATTTTTTAGCTTCAAGGCTTCTAGCTCTGAATCAGACATAAAGTATAATTAGGTAAAGGAAACTTGTGACCCTTACTGGAGCTCAATGGGGCAGCCATAATGGTCTGTGGGGCAGCAGGGTGTCCACTTTTTTGTCAAATATATCTGCACAATCCTGCTATCTGGGGAGACAGGCAACCCAGAAATGACACGACCCCACAATGGCCCCTGCTCTCAAGAGGAAGGCAGTAGGATGGCTATATGTTGAGGGCTGTGTGCACTTTCCAGTCCAGACCCCTCCAGTTCAACCAGGCCTCACAGCTCCCTGATCCCAGGGTTCCATTGCACTTTGCAGGGCAAACATCTGCAAAGCAGTGGGCATCACCAGTACCATAGCAAGGGAATTTGGTGCCCAGAGCAAGCCCACAGCAGCAGCCCTCCCTCACCCCATGCACAGATCCAGGGGGTACACGCTTCCCCGTGCTTGCCCAGGAGTGCATGCAGAGGTGGGAGTTGCTTTCCCACCACCCCCATGCCCCTGCCGAATGAGCCACTCATGGCTCTGTCCCATGCCCCAACCCATTTGGGCAGCACCTGTTGGTGTCCCTTCACTTCGGTGCCTGGGGTGGTTATGCCTCTCACTGCCCCCCTCCCCCCTTCCTACAGTATTGGGCATCACCACAGTACAGGCAGAGAGACCTGTGGACTGCCACCTGCTCTTTGCTGCTCATCTAAACTGAATTGTAGGCCATTATCAGTTACCACTTGTTCTGGCAATCCTATCCTTGAAAACAGACATCACAATTTTTCTACTGTCTGTGCTGCTGTAGCAGTTTTCATGCAGAAAACTTCTAGCCATTTGGAGTGGGCATCTACCACTACTAGATACATCATCCCTGAAAAAGGTCCTGCAAAATCAATATGAAGCTGTTGCCAGGGAGGGTGTGGCCATTCCTAAGTGTGTAACGGCACTGATTTGGGCATATTCTGTGCTTTTTGGTATCCCATACATTCCTTAACAAGGTGTTCTATTTGCTGAACAATATATATAATTATATAATGCTTCTAGCTAATATCTTTGTTTCTACAACTTCTAGGTACCTTACACACAACTCTTCTAAAATTCCTGTGCACAGTTTACTGGGCACAACAACACAAATCCCCCACAAGACACATCCTTGTATAATAAGTTCATCTTTTCATGCATAAGACAGCACTAAATTAGGACTGTCAGTATATTTCCAACTTTTCAGGATGGATTCATACACCTATTCCAGTGTGGGATCTTGCTTGATTCCTTGGCCAATCATCATACAGGTTACTGGGGAATACTCCAGCTGAAATAAAGTAATGATTTGAGTAGAATCTGTTTCTGTTACATCAGGTTCTTTCACAGGTGAATGAGAAAATCCAATGCGAGAAAGGCCATGTGCCTTTGTTGTTTTGTATTTAATGTCATAAGTGTAACCAGTTAAAAAGAGCACCCACTATTTAATATGTGCTGCACTTGTCCCAGACACTCCTTTTGTAGGATGGGTTGTTAATCTGTGACTAATGTAAACTTTTTCTCATAAGAGTATTAACTATATTTCTTTACTCCCCACACCATATGTAATTTCATTCTGTTGCTGTAACTGTGATGCAAATGCTATGGGCTGTTCAGTTCCATCAGCCATAGTATGTGAACACAATGCTATGTAAGGATGCATCACATACTAGCTTGCCTGGCAACAGTGGTTAAACTGTACAAGTACAATATCAGATTTCATCAGCATTTTGCTTCTAAGGAGGCCTTTTGATACTCATGTGACCAAATCCATTTATGGTTTGTTTAGAGCAAACAATTTAAAGAGTACACCACAGTTGCTAGGTTTGGTAAATCTCCTATAGTCATTAATAAATCTTAGAGAAGAGCTACATTTCAAAACATCTTTTGGCTGTGAGGCTTCTAAGACTGCTTTAATCTTCTCTTGCAGTTTATGTAGATTTTGCATATCATTAACATCATTGCAATTAGCAACTGACTCTGAAAAATTTTCGTGTTGCACAATTTGCTCACAACATGTACTCTTCTAGAAGTTCTAATACTCTTCAAATTTCTCAAATGTTCTTTGGCAGACAAGGTTCTTTGGGTGAATCTGATATCTTTTATTAGACCAACTTAAATAGTTGGAAATGTTTTTTTAGCAAGCTTTCAGGTTTAAAAACCCTTCGTCAGGCTGAGGAAGTCTCTGCAGTTGGTGCCTGCTCTTCCTGGATGGAATGAATAGTAAAGAAGCCAGAGGCTGGGCTGGACTGCATGCAAGACAGGCAGTCAGTGAAGATGTAAACTGAGGAGTCAGTGGGTGAGAGACAGGCTGGGTGAAGGGGAGAATGGGGATGAAAGTAGCTCAGATGTTTTTCATCATTTTTACCAGTTAGAATACTGTCATCCAAATAACACTGTTCATGGAAGACCTTGTAACTCTTGATCCATTGCTTGCTGTCATATAGCAAGAGCAGAGGCAATGCCAAGCACTACCTTATTATACTGATATAACCCTTTCTGCAGACTTCTACTTCCTTCTGTAAGTTATCTTGTCTTAAATCAATTCTGTTACATCTCTGCCCCCTGGTAGTGTGGTAAAACTGTGCTCCAGTCACTCTAGGCAGTCCAATTCAGTAGCTACCTTGGCATGCAAGCTTTATAGAATTGGCTGACCTTTGTGAAACTTGGCTTAGGTGTTTTCATTTATCATCATCCTAGCCTTGATATGTTTTGAAGTTCTTGAGACTTCCCTGAAAACTTCAATGTCATGGTTTAATATATATCTAAACTGTTGTTTGGCTGGTTCTGCAGGGAACTTTTAAAGTGCCTGCAGCATCATTATACAATTCCAGTTCAGAGGAATCTCTTTTATCCATTCCTGAACCCCCAAAGAGGGCCCTCCTTTTTAAGTGATGTATAAGTCTAAGAGGTGCCACTTATTGTTATATTCTACGGGTACTTACATAAAGCCCTTTAGCAGAATTATCTTTCCTGTGTATGTTTTTAAAAACACAGGGGTCTCCTTTAATTAAATATTTTTAAAACAGCGGGGCTCGACCTTTTGGCTCCATGGGCCAGATGAAGGGCACAAGGCTGCTCCACAGGCCAGACTGGGCCCGATGCTGCCTCTGTCTAGCCCACATGCATGGATTGGGTTCCATGTAGACTGGGCCCAGCCCTGCACACACGGATTGGACCCCAGGGTCCTGCACCAGATCCTGCCTGTTGGGATTGGGCCCTGCATACCTGATCCAGTGTCCAGGACCACGCTATCTGGGCCATGTGGTTCAGAAATTTGACACCAGAGAAAAGCATTGTCACTAGTTACTTGAAGCCAAATTTTCAGACTTGTGGGGAGCCCAACAGAGGGGGTGAAATAGTGCCAGTGCTGTATCTAGTTTGCATACTGGAGGTTGACCACCCCTGTTTTTAAAGGTTTTTTTTTTCATATTTGGAATGTGAGATTGCTGACACTGCAGAGCCTACATCCAACTCAATTTTAATGGTTTTGCCAGCAACCTGGGATGTCAGCCAGATGGCTCATTTATCACCCTTGTTCACATGATATAGGCCCAGAATAGCTGCTCGACTCTCACTATTACATACTGTATAACTTTTTATTTCCTTTTCTTTACCACACACTCTTCTTTACTTCTCTTGGCACAGCACACTGCCAGATATGTCCTTTTTTACTACAATTTTGGAAATAGTGTTCCTTCAACCAGTAATTATTTGGGATATGTTATCTTTTTCCACACCAGTAGCACACATCAGGCTGCTGCCAACTCTGGGTCTTACATTGCATATTTAATGATTAATTATCTCCTATTTCCATAGCAATTCTATGGTATCATTTGCTGCAGTATCCATAGCTAACCCAACCTCAATAGCACATTTAAAGGTGAGTTATTCCTTTGTTAGGAGCTTCCTTTGTACAGCTCCTGCCCACACAAAAACCTGTCTCAGAGCCTCATTAAGTCCATCCTTACAATTGCAATGTTCAGATAACTTCTGTAACTCTTTTACAAATGAGGAAATAAATTCACCTTCAAGCTGATTTCTCTTACAGAAACCGAACATTTCTGCAGTAATCAGTGGCCTGGGTCCCAGATGCTTTTGGACAATTTTCATTAATTCCTTAAAGATTTTGTTTGATGGCATTTATGGGGTGAGAAGATTGTGCAGTAAACTATATGATTTTTGTTGCATTAAACTTAGAAACACAGCTACATGTTTCTGTGGTGGAATCTCATTTACTTCAAAAAAACTGCTTCAGCCACTTGATATGCATAGACAAGCCCACCAGGGTGCTCTCATAAGCCCAAATTGTTTCAATATAAGCAGCCATTTTGAGTTCCAACAGCTTTTAAATGCTCACAATTAAAGCAAAAATTTCAGCTTAATTTAATGCATGGCCATCTTGTGGAATCTTTGTCACCATTTATGTTTGTCCAGAGCATAAATAAGTGCTCCAACGACAAGGATGGGAAAAAATGCTTTATATTATAAAGATGAAGTAAAAGCAAACATTCATTGCCATTAGCAGATTCAACAGAAAGTAACTTTAGATCAACACATTCACATATATAGCAACCGTCTTTTAGTTGTACAGAAATAGCTTACATTTTTATTTGTTAGACTGTCTGGAAATATTCATGTTTGAACAAAAACAGCACCTGAAAAATTTGTTTGAACGCTTAACTTTGAGAATTTAAAGTAGGCTTAAGTAGCCTTTTAGAATGAAGGGAATGCAGCAAATTCCATTTCAGTTTTAAACACCAAAATAATACTCATGCCTCTTGTGTGTCATTCTTGATATTTATACTGACTGATGTTTCTAATTTCCACCCGGGTACAATGTTTGCCTTGTGTTTCCTTTTTGAGCTTACTTAGAAAATTCCATTATGGATAAATTACCTCTGGGCATGTCTACATGTACATTTACACTGGTTTAAAGTTACCATGCAGTAAATTACTGCGCAGTAAGTGGGAATAGGCCAGGGTTTACGTGTGCAGGTATTAAAGCACATTAATGCTGTGTGTAGACTGATTTAGGACTAAAGTTAATCCCAAGTCAGTCCACATGCACAGTGTTACTGCACAGGAAGGTGTCTACATATTTGTTACTGCGCAGTAACTAATTGGGCGTAAATTTGATACCGGCATGGTGCAGGTGTGCCTGTCTAAGACTGAGCAACTGTTGTCAAGCAGCTCAAGGCCTGGTGATTTGTTGATTCGGATCACTGCCCCGATTCGATTCGGCCAAATCTGAAGATTCAATGCTGATTCAGGGAATCAGTGATTCCGCCATAGACACAGCTTTAAATGTTTTTTCCACATACCTTGAGGTACCAGGTGTGCCTTGTGAATGCTGTGATGGTGGGGCGAATGGAGTGTCCCACAGGATTGTGCCCCCACCCCTCCCACGTGCTCAGTGGTGAACCCAGAAGTGGATTGGAACTACTTCCAGTCCACTTCTGGGTATGCTGCTGAGCATGTTACGGGGTCCCCCGTGTCCCTTCAGCTCGGCAATTGGCCACGGCGGGACCCTAGGTGCCCCCCCAGACCTAGGAGGCACCAGTTGCCAAGCTGGGGGGGGCATGGGGAAGCCTCCCAGCACACTCCCTGGTGGACCTGGAAGTGGACAGGAAGTACTTCAGGTCCACTTCTGGGTATGCTGGTAAGTGCACTGGGGAGCCCCCCAACACTTACGTGGGACGCTCCATCTGCCCCATCACTGCAGCATTCATGAACTGCCTTGTACCTTGAGATATATAGAAAGAACATTTAAAGCTGTGGCTATATCCAGATTGCCAAATCTTTCCAAATCTCTCCAAATCAATTCAGAGGGTTCCAATTTGATTCAGAGAGATTAAAGGGTCTCCTGATTCAATTCAGATTTGGAGATCCAGCCACCGAACAGGGCCAAATCTCTGCTGAATCAAATCAGGGACTGAAGATTCCCTATTTTTAATGCTCCCTCAGAGACATTGGGTGTTGGCTACAGTCAAGGCTGGGAACTTTGGGGTGTGCCAATGTTCTTGCTGGGAGCAAAGCGCGAGGTTCCTGGCTAGAGGGTCTTGCCCTCTGTTTAGGAGCAGACTGATCACCATATTTGGGGTCAGAAAGGAATTTTACCCCACAGTCGGATTGGTATGGACTGTGGGAGGGGGTTTTGCCTTCCGCTGTAGAGGTGGCATAGCTCTCTATACAGGATATCTTGAGCATATATTGACAACATTTCATAGAAGCAGGACATTGGCTGCCATGGCTCCCCTGCTTTACATGTGGAATGTTCAGGTGTGCTCTGCTGGCTTGATGGCCACCATAGTTCTAACAGATGTCCATATTGATCACATTTACTCCACTTATACTGACCTGCCTTTTCCTGAGGCTCAAGTTACTTCACATCAGGCTACTTTTCTTAATTCCTTAAGATGTCTCTGCTCATAATTGTTTTCTCACGCTGTATGCAGTTCCTTCAGCTTTACTTATTTATAATTTATGAAATACCAGTAGGAAAAAAAAAAGGCATGAGAAACAAGCAGCTCATGTCTCAGCCTGTAACCCCGGGATTGAGGCCAACATCAGAGTCTTCCACAGACGAGAAGCAAGAAATTATAGTATTCTATAGCAGGGAGTAGGAGAGAATTATGGTATGAGACACTGCATTAGCTGCATTAGTAGATCCATTTGAAGTGTTTTATCCTGGTTTTACTCTTGTCCTATGGTAATTTAAAGCTAAATAAGGGCAGTTTGTAACATAATAAATCAGCTTCTAAATTACCATGGTTTAGCTTCTATGTACAGCTGGATAGAGCAGATATTCAGAACAGCTCCAAGAGATCAACGTGAAACTGTGGTATATGCTCCTCCCTTTTTCAATCCATATTTCTGTTTCATCTGTGTATATCTTTGGTGGACTTGGAGGTGAAGTAAGCAAAACCCAGAACTGCAGGTCCTTGAAGAGAAACATCTAGAAATGTGATGAGATCTCTCATCCAGACTAGGCACTGCCTAGAGAATTTTCCAGCTCTTGTTTCGAATTTGACCAACTGGGCAGACAAAGTATGAAAATAGTAAGTCAGAAGGAGTAGAGTTCAGTAAAAGGAATGCTCCCTGGAAAAGACAGACCTTAGTATCTAATCGTGTGTGAATATGGAAGTATTTGATTTGGATTTGGTTGATTCAGAGGACAGTGATTCACTGTCCTGAATTAATTTGGCCAAATCAGCTTCAGAACATTCAGCTCTGATTCAGACAGGTTTGGTGATTCAGATCAGCCAGGGAGAGGCAGGCAGAGCTGGGTGGTTCCTCTGGCTGTGCCTGCCTCTCCCTGGATGGGGAGAGCTGTGGGAGAAGTCCCCATGGCTGCCCTGCCTAGCCCTATCCTTTTCCCAGCTCCAGCCTAGTCCTGGCACTTAAAAAAAAAGAAAAGAAAAATCTCCACACTCACTGGATGCAGGAATGGTAACTGGGGCCTCTGGGCACTTGTGGCAGAGCCCCCCCTCCACAGCGCAGGGCAGTGGAGGGCAGTGTGGATTTCCACCCCCCTGGCACCCACACACTGTCTGGGAGTTGGGACTGAGCACTGCTAGGTTCCGGATGACTTCTGGAGTGGCCCCAGTTCCCAGGCGGTATGCAGTGCCCTGCCGAGCTGCATTGCACCCATGCAATGTGACCACTGCCATGTGGGTGCCAAGCAGGGGTGGGGGGAGATCCCTGATGCCCCC